GTATTTATAACCTCGGGAAACGTGTCAATCTAGGTTTAGGTTAACCTTGGGCTGATTGGGCTTCCCTCGGAAGTTGGGCCTAGGTGACCGGCTTCTCCATTAGGCATGGAGTATGCCACGTGTCATGACATAATAATTCCAGGGTGGACGAATAAGCGTGTGCCACGTGGCAAGCCCTGAGATGTCCAACTGGGGGACACTTGGCAGGACCTGATTGGCCCACGTGGCGTATTCCGATTGGTGGGAGCAAAATCCCCTAATCAGTTAGAGTGCGCCGCACGCGTTGTGCGCGCACCGATTTGTAAACCTTATTAAGAAAATTAGTAGCAAGACATATAAGTTAATTAGCTTAGTTTTTGTAAACTTGTCCATGATATATGCATGTATACATTATAAATTATTGTATTATTGTGTAAAGTATTATTACTTATTGATATCATACATAAATGATAGGTCTTAAAAAAAATATTTTATAGTATTTAATGTAGAACATTTGTGATGAAAGAGGTATCATTAATTTACTGCATAATCTCTTTTCTCAACCCCTCAAGTAATCCCTGACCGAGTAACTCAAGTAACACCTAATTGAAGAATTCGAATAACCCTAACAAAATAACTCAGGTAACCCTGCCACAATCCGTTCCATAATAATTGCAACACTACTTTCTTTGGTAAGAGTCCACGACTATTTTATTATTTCTCTATGACCAACCCAATTTACACTTTTTTATTATTATTTCTCTCTCCTACAAACAAATAAATATATCCAACTAACTATAATTTACATTATAAAATCAAATATTTTTGTATGCAACATGTTGTATCATGCAACAAGGTTTACTTGAGTTTCTCGGTATAGGATTACTCGAGTTGTCAGGGTTACTCGAGTTTCTCGGTTAGGGGTTACTCGAGTTGTTGGGGTTACTCAAGTAACCCCTGACCGAGTAACCCCTTGAGTAATTCATGATGAACCCCTCGAGTAACTTCTAACTGAGTAACCAAATGTCATTGATTATGATAATATATCAAATGACACAAATTGTTATTAGCACACCGTTTTGTTAATATAATTTAGGAAACCATTAATGAATCGTCAAAATAATCAAATTGGTTTAGTTTTCGTAAATTTGTGCATGAATTCGTAGTTGTATGAAATATAAATTATTGGAATGGTGTAAGATATAATGATTTCATATCGAAATATATTTATGTTAGCAGTTAATTATATCACAAACGATTGATAAGTATAGACACTTATATTGATATGGAATATAGAAAATTAGAAAAGTTAATATCATTGCTCGGATTGGATTACATGTTTGAGCTTTGTCTTGTTTCGTATTAATTATCTCTCGGTCATGAGTCACTCGAGTTGCTGGAGTTACTCAAGTTACTTGGTCAGGGGCTACTTGAGTTAATCCTTATTGAGTAACTCCTCAAGCACCCCCTAACCGAGTAACCCCTCGAGTAATCCATGATCGAACCCCTCGAGTAACCCCTAACCGAGTAACTCACCCCCCTCAAGTAACCCCTTATTGAATAATCCCTCAAATAACCCCTGACTGAACCCTCAAGTAACCTCTGACCGAGTAGCTCGAGTAACCCTTAAATGAGTAACTCGAGTAACCCTTACCGACAAACCCTACAAGTAACCTTTGACCAAGTGACCCCTTGAGTAACCCCTATCCGAACCCCTCAAGTAACCCCTGATCGAGTAACCCCTTAAATAACCCTTGACCGAGTGAACCCCTCGAGTAACCTTTGTCCCAACCCCTCAAATAACCCCTGACCAAGTAACTTGAGTAACCCCTAACTAAATAACTCGGGTAACCCCTAACAAAATAACTCAGGTAACCCCTTCCAGGCTGCCATAGTTTGTTTAATAATCGCAACACTACTTTCTTTGGTAAGAGTACATAACAATTTTAATTTCTATTGCTATTGCTATTGCTATTTGTTATTTGCTATTGCTATTGCTATTGCTATTTTTATTGCTACTGCTACTGCTACTGTTACTGCTATTGCTATTTATTGCTATTTCTATTGTTATTGGCTATTAGCTATTGCTATTTGCTATTTGCTATTGCTATTGCCATTGCCATTGCCACTGCCATTGCCATTGCTATTTGCTATTTGCTATTTCTATTGCTATTGCTATTGGTATTGCTATTGTTATTTGCTATTCGCTATTGGCTATTGGCTATTGGCTATTGGCTATTGGCTATTGCTATTGCTATTGCTATTTGCTATTGCTATTGCTATTGCTATTGCTATTTGCTATTGCTATTGCTATTGCTATTGCTATTGCTATTGTTATTTGCTATTGCTATTGCTATTGCTATTGCTAACCCTTGAATGAGTAACCCCTCGAGTAATCCATGATTGAACCCCTCCAGTAATCCCTTCCCCTCAAGTAACCCCTGATTGAGTAACCCCTCAAGTGAACCCTAAAATAACCCCTGACCAAGTAACCACTGACCGAGTAGCTCGAGTAACCACTGACCGAGTAACCCCTCGAGTAACCCTTGACTGAGTAACTCAAGTAACCCATGACAGAGTAACTTCTCAAGTAAACCTTGGCCAAGTGAATTATAGTCAGAGAGTCACAACCTTAGAAAAAAATCGTATCCAAAACACAATAAACCTAACAACATTGCAATAATAACGAAAATTAATATATCCCATTAGTCCTAAGTAATTTAATTACAAAGTTATTACCCCTGTAAAAGTTGTTTTGACATAGTTTTGAGAGCCATCAAAACAAAGGAGAAGTTGTCCAAAAAAAGAAGTTGGTATACGTGCTGAAATAATTCTCAAAGTTTAGCTATCTGCGAACAAACTTCAGTTCTACTGCTAGCTACAACAAAACACAACTCTAATCCAAATTGCTCAATCATAATAGTTTAAAACTTTAAACCATTAATATTAACTTGTTACATAAGCAATGGATAAGTTGTGGACACTTATTCCTTAAAAACAATTGAAATTTTGCAAAAGATTACAGATTATGATATATAAAATAAAATAAAATACAATCAGTCCAATCCCTTAAATGACAGGGTATGTCTTCATAGAATTCTTCCTTGGCTTCCACCATGCAGGATTAGACTTCATCCGAGCATCTCTCGTATCTCCTTAAGTGCTGAAAACACAATAAAATATTAGATTGGGAAGCATGCACATAGATTAAAAGGATAAAATTTTGAGTTCACAAAGCCTCTACGAAAAACAATGATAATGATTAGCTCTTGTTTCACATATAGCCACAATCATGTATAGAGCAGCTTGTACCTTCGTTTTAGTTTTACATGAACATGATTCCTTTTGTGTAGCAAGTCCAATCCTAGCATAAATGTACTAATTTGATGCAATACAAGTATACAACTTATTAGTAAGGATAACAAACTCAAGTAATATGAAAGTGAGAAGACAATTCTCAATGGGAAAAAAAAAAGAGAAAAGACGCTACTGCTACTCCTATCTATTTATTGCTATTTCTATTGCTATTGGCTATTTTCTATTGGCTATTGCTATTGCTATTTGCTAGTTGCTATTTGCTATTTGCTATTTACTAAAGCTATTGATATTGCCATTGCCATTGCCATTGCCATTGCTATTTGCTATTTGCTATTTGGTATTTCTATTGCTATCTCTACTGCTATTGCTATTTGCTATTTGCTACTTTCTATTTGCTATTTGCTACTTGCTATTTGCTATTTGCTATTGGCTATTGGCTATTGGCTATTGGCTATTGCTATTTGCTATTTGCTATTTTCTATTGCTATTTGCTATTTGCTATTTGCTATTGCTATTTGCTATTTGCTATTGCTATTGCTATTGCTATTGCTAACCCTTGAGTGAGTAACCCCTCGAGTAATCCATGATTAAACCCCTTGAGTAATCCCTCCCCCTCAAGTAAGGAGTGTTCAAAAATACTGTTATAGAAGTGCATAATCAAATAGTGTACGTATTAGAATCCATTATAGAAGAGCAAAATCAAGGTCTTGAAACAGTACATAAGGAGAGTTCAAAAATACCGTTATAGAAGTGCAGAATCAAGGTCTTGAAGTGTAAGTATTAGAATCCATTCAAGTTTTTGTTAGCAAGATACCACTTGGATGGTGTAGATATTTGTTTTTCAATTGTATTAGACATAAAAATACACAACTTGTATATACCATAGATTGATCTTTTTCATTGAGAGGGAAATTCTGATAGTATTCCTGTTTCTATCTGTTGTCATTGCCAAGTTGTGCTAATTTCCCAACAGTTAGGTCGCAATACAATTTTCTTTATGACATTTCACCCCCTGTGCCTAGGTACGGAAATGGAATTTACCTACGATCAGATTTTGATGAATTCATTCATTCAACGGACCGGCTGTATATGAGAATATGAACCAAAAAAAACTGAGGAATATGGACTGAATTTCACTTGCAGATGGTGGAATATCAAACAATTGAAGAACTTTGCATTAAGTCTACCTTTACAATCGTCCTTCACTACTATGCCTGAAATCAATACAATTTCAATAAAATCTGTAAACTAACAAAAGTTCTGCATCAATAAATGTCTATAAGAGGAGGCATTTACATAATGATGATTCAGATTCATACTACTAAATGAAAATATAAGATCTGCTGACTAAGAACTTCTTTCCACAGATTGAGACCATTTGATAGTTGACCTCACAAAAGCATCAATTGGATCAATACATTTCTTAAGTAAAGGGTCATCAGGGGGTAAAAGCTCATGCATGTCATGAGATGCAATGTTGACCATGTTTATGGCTCTCACTAACAGAACTTGAAGCGCAATTCTTAGTAAGTTCCGAGCCCTTTCAATGTCTTTCCTGTCCAAAGCTTCAATGGCAAGGCGCACGGTGTGTTCCATGGTTGCTTTATCCGGAAGCCTGACCTCAAATCCCTACCAAGGAATTTAGAAGGGAGATGAATTGTTGGTATATTATGGTTGTGTTATATTAACCCTGATCACTCATAAGAGCAAGGGTTAAAAAAGAGAGATCAAGTGTCACACATTCATAATCCAAAGCTACAAAACCAAATCGTATGTAAACCATAAACACATATTGTACTTCAACAGATGCCCCCAGGCAAACCAGGGTTAAAAAAAGAAGTTCCGTTGTGCATCTTAGAACTTGATGCCCAAGAAAATTGCAGTAAGTCATCAGACATCTAACAACATAAAAGCCTATGCTTAATACAACTATTGTAGGAGAGCGAATTCAATACTCAATATAGAACAGAAAACTCTACTCATAACCCAAATGAATATAAAGAAAACCACAACAAAGCTCAAATTCAAAGTGCTGCTTATAACTAAAGCAAAACCTCTCTATCTGAATTGATCAGTATAGAAAAAACCTTTTAAAATGCCAAATGTTATGGGAAGTTCAACAGAAAGGGCTAAGGAGTGGTAACGTAAAGGCACTGGAACAAGAAGAGAGGTGTTATTTTAAAGACTCATGAGATACTCATATGTATCGTTTCTTCAAAAGTTTGACTAAAGTACATTCCAGCAAAACCCAAAACTTGTATCCCAATCGTACTGCCAGCACATTTCATCATTATAGAGTCATAGACTCCAAGAAGAAAGCAGATGAAGGACAAAAGACCTTTTTTCTTCTTATTTTATACGAAGTATTTCGGGAGGTAGGTTGGGGTGAGAATTCAAGGAATCGAAAACAGGTTTTTCTTGTATGATTCTACATTTGGACATTACATATTGTCTACACATTAATGTGAATACGAACCTTAAAGACACACATAGTTCCATCTTTGTATGTGAATTGCTTTGTTTCCTTAGATACATATTTTCAGGTATCTGTCAATTTCAATTTTATGTCCAACCAATTAGAAAAATATTTTAAATAAAAAAGTGGAAAAATAAATTGATTACTGTTAACAATACTAATGCACAAAAACAAAATTAAAATCAACAAATCATCAACAAACATAAAATAACACTGATAAAAATCATTAAAAATCCAAATAAAAATTACAAAAGATTGACGAACAAAGCGATATACCTGATATTCGTGGATGTGTGAAACAGCTATGATTTTCCATAAAAAAAACATAGCAACATCTACGATATGCAAGCTCTGGCCTTCACGACAGCTGTATGCTCAGACAGTTTCAAAACTGGCTGCTGAGAATGCTGGTTCCATACCAATAGCTGATATTTTTTTCATGAAATTTGCAAATTAATCACCTTTCAGAATATCTTTGATTGTCAAACCACTTACTATTTTAAAATTAAATACTATCTAATTACCTGATTGTCATCGCCTCCTGATGCAATCTCCCTATCATCATGAGACCATTTTAACCCACACACCTAAAGAATGACATATAATAATATTCTTAATGATCACAAACCAAAAAAATTGATAAAATTAAGCAGCAACAATAATAGATTACTACTCTACATTCCAGTAAGAAAGACAAAACATTGCCATTACCTTAGATTTATGTCCAACAAGCTTGCTAACATAGTAATTCGAGACCCGAAGATCGTGTTGAAGTATGTTCCTATCTCTACTTTCAGAGGCAAGTATACGGGAACTCTATGCCAAAACACCAGCTCTTATTTGATGACCACTCAAAGTTCTTAACTTTTTGCATTGAACTCCATCTCATACCTAAATCAAATCAACCATTGTTACATGTCTACATTAACACTTTCATGAAATGAATAAAGAACAATTCTAGCACAAACTGCAACTTCACAAACTGCTGCCACTGATCTGAACCAGGTTAGGGAGACAAAGAGAGCAAATGAAAAAATTAAAATGCCAAAAATTATTAGTAATAAAACTAAGAAAATATTATTCTAACTAAAAAGCGAGCACTATTCACAATAATAATAAGTACTTTAGTTAGCTCATAATAAACACAAAAACCTCAATAGCTCAAAGATTGAGACCCCGACTTCATCATCGCTCCTTTGTTGGTTTGGTCACCAAAATTTCGATTAAATGTCAAACCCACAAATCATCAACTTAGATAAATGTAAACAGTAAAACCACAATAATTCTCCCAACAGTTCATGAAATAATTGTCTAATAAACTGTTGAAATAAGCCAGCTTTCCCGACTTGACTAACTAAAATTTCCTCAATTAATACAATAATTAAGCAATAAAAATTGTTCCTTAAAAAGAAAAACACCAGCTTACTGTAGACACCTAAAAATGTCTCCCCAAAACCAAACCCGATGATGAACAACCTTTCACCGCCGCTATTGGTCGGGTTCAGTATTTAATCCCGAGAGTGCTTAAAAAATCGTATTTGATTAAATTCATATTTTTGAACAGTCCATGGATTAGTCTTGATGTTTGGTGAAAGCATAGTTTTAATTTCAGCCCAAACTTATTATTTAATTTTAGCCCAAACTTTTTTTATTTTATTGTTTTATTATTTATTTTTGGCCCAAACCTTTTATTTATTTTATTTAATTATTTTCTTATTTTAGCCCAAATAATAATAAATCAGAAAATGGCCCGAATTTATCAATCGGCACTTAAAATGCTGAACGAAATTAGGGTTAAAAATGTATTTAGACGGAAAAGCAGGCTGAGAATTCCCGCGCCACGGCAGGTACCCACCGTGTCACAAGAATCATTCCCGTCTGACGGTGGGATTTCCTGTGACACGGGAAATCTGCCGTGACACGGGAATTTCCGTGTCTTTTCCGCGTAAACCCTTAACGCGTTTTCTTCCCCGTTTACTGAAAATTTCCAGCGTCACACCAAAAATACACCGTGTCGCGGGAAATCTTCCCGTCTGACGGTGGGATTTCCCGTGTCACGGTACAGTTTGCCGTGTCGTGGGATACTTTTTTAGGGTTTTTATCATTATAGGGTCCGTGTGCTCCCTCAGCACATTTTCTCTATAAATACCCCCTCATTTCTGATGTATAGGGCATCAATTAATTCTGGAATTGATTTTTTCTCTCTTCTATGCTTTAGCCTAAACACTAGCCTACCCTTCTTATTTCAAAATTCCTACTTCAAGTGCTCAAAGGAGTCCATACTTTACTCGTGGTTCTATCCTTAAACCAAGGCGTGAAAGGTAGAACTTTTTGAGGGTTTGGCCCCAAATCAACTCTACTTTATTTAATTTAATTTAATTGTTGTTTTATTATTATTTCCTTGAAGTTACTAACTCGTTTATTATTTTGTAGTTGCAAACAAACAGAATCAAAGTAAGAATTATGTTCCTTTTATTTCTATTATTTTTCTAATGATTTTATATTGTTGGAACTATGGTTAAATTACTTCCAATATTAATGTTTATTCTGTTATTTTTTTTATTGATCACCATATTGCATGTTTAAAGGGAATATGTAATTGAAAATCACGCCTAATAAGATAATTTGGACAACCGGTTTAGTATCCTTTTTAATCTTGTTATTAATTGAAGTGATCACCAATATTTTAAAATAATGTGTGCATTATTATTCAACCAATTTAGCTAAATAATATTTTGGAGCGAATTGAATATTTTGTTTGTATGCCTTTGAGATCGTAGGAATCAATTTTCACCATAAGAATCGAGTAGAGGCCAATATGGGCGAATGTGACTCCATGACTCACTTCGTACCATCATCCCCGATCCTCCTTTCGTGGTTCCGAACCATATGGAGTTAGTAATCTCATGGATTATGAATGGGGTGTAACCTTCACGGGTCAATCGTTGTTGCCTATCGTTGTCCCTTATCGTGGTTGCCTTTTTATGATCCGTGAATGGTTTACAAGTTCCTTAAAAAACTTGTTGGCGGCTCCCTACTTTATTTGTCCCTAATTGTATTATGTCAATTCCCACTTCTTATGAGTGTCAAGCATATTCACAACATGCTTTAACGTAGGCGCACTTCGAGCGACGCCTACACTTACCTTACCTGAAAACACCCATATGTAGAGAGAGAAAGCGAGGTGAGAGAAATGATTAGCCAAATTAGCCTATACATTTTTCTAATCAACTCAAGCAAAACAACACTATTAAAAATCAAAATAAAAGATGATAGAATTCGAATTAAAAAGAACCAGTAGATCAGAAAATACCTCTTTATCGATGAGCTTATTGAAGAATTTCTTAGCTTGAAGAACTTGTTCCGTAATCTTCAATATTGTGCTCGTGCCATGGAAATTTAAAATCTTCAAAGTCTGATTTTAATCAGTGTTTAGTGTGCAAGGGAAGGAGAAAGAGCTTAATCAGTGAAAAATATGATAATTCACGGAAAAAAAACATGAATTAATTAGAAGAGAAGTTACCCCATATCAATGTCATTGTAATCATCGTCCGCCATTGAAGATTGTTGAAGCTTGCCTGAAACAACCGCAAATACCCTAAATTGTTTCGGGAACCAAAAACCCTCAAAAACAAAACAAAAATCATAAAATTTTCATGTACTATAAACCCTAAAAAACAAAACAAAATTCCCAAAATTAACAAATAGATGAAAAGAAAACAAATGGATCTAGCACATTCGAATTGAAGAAAGAGAAATAATGAAAACCTCTTCTTCGGAAAGAGGCTTGTACTATATAAGCTGACCAATCTGCTCATCAAGTTTTTGAATAATCCACCAATATAGAACCCTTAATTGACTATGCGAACATCAATTTAACAACAATGTGAAATTAAACTCTCAAATGTTTTTTTTTTTTGTAAAGAGGGAAAACCACATGAACCATTCTGCAAAATTTACAAACCCCATTTTTTTTAAAAAAAAATAAATAAATAAAATTACAAACCCCACAGCCATAATTTGTTAAATCATTCAAGAAACACTGTTCATAAGAGACTCGAAGTGATCATTTACCTATTTCAATATTGGAGAACAGATGAAGCCCAACTTAGAGAAAAGAAACTGAAAAAAGCGTTTAGTCTCCTCCGAGTTTGAACAAATTCACAAACCTCCATATTCTTCTAGATCTCCTCTTTCGCCCTGATATCCAACAAAGCCAGAGCAAGCGGGCTCCTCATTAGCCATAAAAAGAAGTAACACTACTATTGAAGCTTAGAATGCCAGAATGTGAAACCATTATTGAAAAATAAAAGGCAAAATAGTAAATTGTTGCATGCATGAAACAAAAAATCCATCGATCAAAGTAAACAACAATCAAAGCTGATCAATTAATCAAGCAAAGATGAAATATTAAAATCAAACCTAACAATAAAAAAATGGACCAAGATGGAGAAAACCAAAGCAAAAATTATGAATTGAAACAAAATCTAAAATTATAAAAAGAAATTAAAACTGCAAATTACCTAAAATTGCAAGAGGATTGATGAGAAAGAAAATGACAAAGTGTAATCAGTCACCGATCGAAAGACAGGGAACCCCCAAAAACGATAGCATGGAAACCCTAGGATAGATATTTTATGGATCAAAATCAGAATCAAATAATATATTTCATGTCAAAACTAAAGGAATATATATTTTTATTATCATTACAAAATGCAGCTTCACAATTATGACAATTTGTGTATAATTTCCCAACAATACCATCTCTCCTAACTCTAAGCTCATCTCCATAATAAAGATGCTACCTTTAGTGCAGTTCTATAATCCCTAAATATCTACCCCTAAATTTCTCAATTCTGAAATCATCCAAATGCATCTTTATCCCACAACCACCACTCTATTTGCAACTAACACCCACCAATTATATCAGATTTTTAATATATAATTGGAAAATAAAACAATAGAAAACATTGACAAAAATTAGGAATCAACAAAATTGTGAAACCGAAACCACCTAAAAATCTAAGTTTGAAGCTTATACTATCAATTTTCGAAAACAAACCATTGACGAAGATTAAATTAATCAGATCCAACAAAAACAAAATCTAAGTTAAAACAAAATCAGATCCAACAAAAATAGACAAAACTGATGACATTGAAAGAATAAACTAAATTAAAAAGAAAATCATAGGTAGAAGAAATGAGGCAATACCATTTTGGTGTCATTTTCCGGATTCAACCAAACTCCATCTATTTGCTCGCATGCCTATTCCCACTTTCATTACATGAATTAGGCCGAACTGCTCCTGATAAGCTACAAACCAAAAGAAAAATTCATCAGAAACCCTAAATCAATAAAATTTGAGAAACTAAAAACAAAATTAAACTAATCAATTAGGTAATCTATAAAAATAATTAGAAATCCTAAATCAAACTGAAAATAAAACACCCAAATCCTAACTATTTTATAAAACAAAAATGAAATACTAGAAAAACCAATTACCAAAAAAAAAATACAAATCATAGAAAAGAGAGGAGAATTAAAACCCTCTTGCTTCCATTAAAGAAGTCTCGTCATCTTGCTGAAAACCAAAAAAAAAAAATCAACAAAATCATAAACATAAAAAAAAACCCCTAAATTTCGCACAATATCCAAATCATGTTCAATCAAAACTACTATAATCAACCAAATTCATAAATTAATGTTAAATGAGATATAAATGAGCTGCAAGACAACAACTGGGAGGGAGAAACAGAGGTAAGCTCCATTTTTTAGATGTAAGAATTCGCTAGAAAACTACGATCAACGGCGGAAGAACCGAGGTCAGGAGCCGCTTCCATTAGAGAATTCAGAAAAAGAGGTAAGCTCCATTTTTGAGATGTGAGCTTTGCACAGAGAAATGTCAAAAGTAGGAAGGAGAGAGAAAATGGGATTTTTTCCCAAATTAAGCTTTATACGGAAATTATTTACGAAATTGGTTTCGTGGCAAAAGTATTTCTCAAACTAAGCTTCTGAGCGTTTTACACTCAGTTTTTAAAAAAAAAAAAAATCAACATATAAAACGCTGCCTCAGGCAGCGTTTTATGGTAGTTTGACTTTTTTCGAAAACTTCGTATTTCATACCTGTTTTATACAAATAAACGCTGCCTGAGGCAGCGTTTATATCTTTAAATGAAACGCTGCCTCAGGCAGCGTTTAATGTACAAGCATAAAACGCAGCCTGAGGCAGCGTTTTTATCTGTACATTAAACGCTGCCTGAGGCAGCGTTTCTTGCAGGAATTATAACGAATTCCAAGCCTTTTTTTCTCAATCTCTTTCACGCAATTTACACTCTCTCTCTCACTAACTCTCATTGTCAGCAACAAAGAACCACAGCCGTTGCCAACGCCTCCCCTGCCGTGCCGCCGCCCCTGCCGCCACCAAAGTGAACGGAAGTTGTTGCCGGCATTGTCTCACTCACTCTTTAAATCCGGGTAAACCCTAAATTCGTAGTACATTGTTGAATTTTACATTGAATAGTTGGTAGTAGATAGTTGTTGTATGTTGTAGCAAATTGTGATGTAAATTGTATTAATTTGTTGCTAATTAGTAATGAAATGTGATAAATTATTGATAATTATTGATGATAATGTGGTACATTGTTAAGGAAAAATATAGACGAAATTGTTGATTAAATTGTCGACGAAATTGTTGATGAAATTGTCAATGATAATGTGGTTTGTTTTTGATGAAATTCTTGATGAAATTGTTGATGGTAATGTGGTCTATTATTGTGAAAAAAATGATAAAATTGTTGATGGTAATGCGGTATTAGTATGTTGATAGTTGTATGCGGTACTAAGAGTTTATGAAATTGGTGATGAAAATGTTGATAATGAGAATGGACTTGTTTCATTGTTGTCATATTAGCTACACATGTAGGTTCTCGAAATTTGATATAACTTTCCATTATCGAAGCTATGTATGTTATGTATTGTTAAATTAGGGTTTTTTGACGTTGTTTTAGAATTCGATTATCCTTAAATGTGTTTTGGTTGGTATGTAGAATATGGCTTCACAAAATGTAGTGTTGTTATGCCGGTGGGGAGGTGAAATTATGTGCGATGGATCAAATGTTGAGTACAGTGGAGGGAATATGGAACTTATAACACTTGAACCGAACATGACTGTGAATGATCTGATGAATGAGGTTCACAGTAGTATCGGCTCAAACCCAATGAATACTGAACTGAACCTTAAAATGAGGTGTGAGATTGGGCATGGGGTTCAAGTGTTACCTGTCTCCACAAACAAACATTTAAAAGCTTTGAGAAGCATTGTTACAATGAAGGGTGTTCCCAATGAGATATATGTAGAAACAGTGCCTATATGTACCCAACAAAGTACTTGGGCAGAACAACATCCTACATATGTCTCCGATTACAACACCGCGTCCTTCCAAGGCCCTTCAAACCACATTCCATCGAATGAATATGGGATGGGAACTTTCAGTCGCTTGCTGCATGATGATCAATTTCAGATGCCGTTTAGTCCTCATATAGCATCACCTGCACATGCGGGGGGCTGTGTGACAATGTTCAGCCAATCCGGTCCTTCAACATCAAACACCGTGGCTCCGTCACCGATGCGAGATGAGGTTCAAGAATCACCGTCTCAAGAAGACCCAAGTCATTTTGATAATATTGTGAATAACGAATTGTCGGTGTACGATGTGTATGCGGATACAGATGAATAGGATGATAATGGGGAGGAGTATGATAGGCTTGATGACATGGATCTTGAAGATGGGCAGATGGAAATTGATGAGCCCTTGAGGATGATAACGGTTGTAGGTTCGTAACATTATACTTGTGTACTCAAATTTTGTTATAATTAGCTAGTACAACTTCTTAAATAATTTGTTGCCACAGGTGGGTGGTTCCCAGACTAACACATGCGCATACAGCGAGAGGTCTTCTCTACTACCGTGACGCCCTCGATCGACTCTCGGATGAACAGGTGGAATCTTGCACTAAATTTGTAATCGTTTGTTTACTCTTTATACTGTTTATTGGCATTGCCCTAACCTTTTCACGATATATCCTTGTTGCAGATGACATGGGATCCCTATTCTGCTGTGTTGGTAGAGGCCATGCCGGAACACTTGCTCGAGCATCGTGCTGAGTGGCTTGCCAGGACCCCCATGATCTGTTTCGAGGTCGTGGAGAGCCACCTACCGGACCGAGTGTTGCGACAGTTCAGACTTCACCAGCCTATCCCCATGCCCTGTGACACTAGTATTCGCCTCCACGGCATTGACCGTCGTGGAAAGTTGGAGACAAACTGGGCACTGGAGCATCATCAATTCATTGAGCTTTGGGACCAGCGGTTGGAGTCCATCGTTGACGGTCACCTGTTTCAGGGTGTTATGGATCCACGTGATCCTTACATGGTATGGTACAGGCAGATTACACGCCTTTTCATCAACCCTACCTACACCCCACCGTCCACGCACTACCATCCAGCTTATGATGTTATCAGCGGACTTGTGAGTTTTTTCAGTTTCTTGTTTTCCAAAATTATTTGAAATTCTATATCATATTACTAATTCATGGATGATTACTGCAGGCGGGGGATATGGGTGCGATGGTTGATGCACTTTCAGATGCCTTAGCAGCCGTACCCACCAGAGCCCAGGTTGAGCGGGTGCGAGATATGGGCATACATAGCTTGCAGAGATATGGCCATGGCCATCTCGTCCACCCCAGGGACGATCATGACCCCAACTCCTTCCATTCACAGTTCGACTTCGGACAGAGTAGTGGTGGAGGTCATACTTCGGGCTCTACACAGGCAGAGGATTACTTCATCCATAACACCGCTCCCGGCCACAACCAGGATGACTCATCGTCTCTCCAGCTGACTCCTCCACCGTCCCGAGACCCATTCACCACCATTTAGCATTACACGAGGCGTCCGAGGCGTGTTCGTAGACGGACGGAGGACACACAGGATGGAGATCAGTTAACTCCAATACATGAGTCCGGATAGTATTAGTTAGTTGATCCTTTTGTGGTACTCAGATATTTAACAATGTTGTATATAACGCTTACATTATTAATACAAGAAATGTTTTCTAAATGACTCTCTGTACAATTTGAAGTTTATTTCCCTTATTTGTCCGAATTTGACTTTTGTTAGTGAAACTATATCTTTTATATCCGTTATATGTATCAAGCAGCATATATTTGGTCTCCTGCACTTAAAGTGCTGTTTCACGATGGTTATCATGCTGTTGGGGTTGTTTCCAGTGTTTGATGGTTGTCGGTGGTGGTCGATGGTGGTGGAAAGGTTGGGGCTGGTGGTGGGAATGCTCTTGCGTTGTTTATGGTGTTTTATGGTAGTTTATGGGTGGTTGAGAGTGGCGGGCGGTGGTGGTGGGGGAGGTGGTTGATGGTGGTGGGGGTGGTGGTTAATGATGGGGGTGGTGGGAATGTCCTTGCGTTGTTTAGGGTGTTTTGCATTGCATAGGGGTGGTCGAGAGTGGCGGCCGGTGGTGGTGGGGGAGGTGGTTCATGGTGGTGGATGGTGGTGGGGGTGGTGGTTCATGGTGGGGCTGAGCTGATGCTGCTGGGTGAGGGTTATATGTAGGGGCAGCAGCAGATTGCAGAAACTGCTGGTGATGCAGTGTAGCAGATGCTGCTGGTAATGCAGTCTAGCAGAAAAACGCTGCCTGAGGCAGCGTTTTATGCTTTAACATAAAACGCAGCCTCAGGCAGCATTTTATGCTTTAACATAAAACGCTGCCTCAGGCTGCGTTTTATGCTTCAACATAAAACGCTGCCTGAGGCAGCGTTTTAAAGCCCATATACATATTCCAGTATAATTTGGCAAAATATACTAGTATATTTTTCCAAAATACATACCAACAGGTCAACAAGGTAAAACGCTGTTTGAGACAGCGTTTTACTTCTTGAATTTTTTTTTTAAAAAAACTGGGTGTAAAACGCTGTCCGAGACAACGTTTCACCTCAGAAGCTTAGTTTGGGAAATACTTTTCCCACGAGACCAATTTGGTAAATAATTTACCAATAAAGCTCAATTTGGGAAAAAATCCGAGAAAATGGTGGTATGAGAGAGGGGAGATGAATGGAGATGAGGTGACTACTGAAGAAAAGGAATCGAATAAAGGGTAAAAGGCAGTAAAACAAAAAGGAAAAAAAAATCAAAAATAAAAATAAAACAGGAACAAAAAAGAAAAGGCAAGGGGTAAAAACTTGAATTTACTGTTCATAAGAATTTTGAGAAAAAAAATAGGCATGACTTAAGGGAAAAATCGGTATTAACTGTTCATAAGAAAAAGTAAAAAAATGCAACCTTCTCCCTTGAATTTGGCTTTTAAGGGTTATGGATATATAAGCCATGTTACTTATTTAGTTATTTTCACAATAATCACAAAACTATTTTTCTGAAAGTTCCTAATGATAACTTGAATCATTGTAGCTTTATTGGGAATGTTGCCTTCTTTTATGAAGGAGCTAATAAAGACACGATGAGATATGTATGTTGAAGGTGATGATTTGTAATACAAATAACAATCCATATATAAAGAAAGATTGAGAGAAAAGATGAATTAGCTCCATCATTATGTGAGATATTTACCCTTGGGTAATACTCCCTCACGAAAATGCTCTCATTTAATTTATTATTTATACTTTTAAAATGTATTTAAATGATTAAAAAAATTAAATGGCTTGATTAGATACTAAGTCTTGTTTGTTCACAATTTTTTATATATGACTAGAAACACGGCGGCGTGAGATAGGGGTTATTCTGTGCAAGGTTACTCAGTTAAGGGTTGTTTGGTTGGTCAGGGGTTACTCGATCAGGAGTTGTGTGGTCGGGATTTCTAAGTCGGTTTGGGGTTACTTGATCGGTTAGGGATTTTTCGGTCAAGGGTTACTCAATCGGCTAGGAGTTACCCGATCAGTGTTTTGGTGTGTGTGAGCTTGCCGCAGGATGTGTCACCCCAAAAAAAGCTATTGTTTGTTTATTTTTTCACATTAATTTGGTAAGTAAAATGATTGCATTGCTGATCGATTTAGAACCTCTTGTAGGTCAACTTGATTAGGTTTAATTTATGGATTGCACTTTAAAGGGGGAGGGTAATAAAGAAAATTCCTTCTCATAGTTACCTTAGTGAGGATTGAACTCTCTAATCTCATGGTTAGGAGGTTTTTTTTTTTTTTTTTTTTTGGTAAATAAAGAATTTTATTACCAAAAGTAAAGAGTTACTACCCATAAAAGTAGCAACTACAAGAAATGAAAGTGCAGTACATGCCCTCTGGGCCAAAGAAGCAACAAAACCAAAGCTCGAAGGCAAAACAAAGATAACAACTACAGAATCTCTAACTCCCAAAGAGAGAGGGAACCAAAGCTACATCCAAAAGTGGGTAATAAACCCATACATCCAAAGAAAACAAATAAGGTGAGTATAATAAAGCAACAACTTAGCTTGAAAGCATACACCATCCGCCAGCATCATCATAAAAACAGCTTGAAAACAGCACCACAGTCAGCCTGCCAGGACAGAACAACAGCATGCATGCAGTACAAACCAGGACAAAAGATCGCAGCCATGAACCATCATCCAGCAGCACAAACATAAGGAGGCTCAAGCAAGACAGAGAATAAGATGCCACGACAAAGGTAGATCAACAGCTATCACAATGGAGGAGGGAAAAGAAGGAGTCCTGGGAGAAGCAGCAGATAAGGTAGCAATAGGAATACCACCCACCATACAATCCAGGCCATCAACTAGCACCTCATGCTAGAAGACAGCACTAAAAATAAGGCCTCAACCTACTACCCACCAAGCAAGCTAGAATATCCAAGACTCACCCATGACAACCAACTTCCACCATGCCAAGACAACAACAAATAATACCCCACCACTAGCATCACCATAAAAAGACAGCTTGATAACAACCCCATAGTCAGCCTGCCAGGACAGAACAATAGCATACATGCAATACAAACCAGAACAAGAGATCGTAGCCATGAGCCATCAGCCAGCAGCACAAACACAGGGAAGCTCAAGAACACATAATAGCATAAGATGCCTGGGCAGAGATAGATCACCAACCAACCATAACAGAGGAGGCATAAGAAGGAGACCTGGTAGAAGCAGCAAGCAAGGAAGTAATAGGAACACCACCCACCATACAATCCAGGTTATCAACTAGCACCTCATGTTAGGGAACAACACTAAGAATAGGGCCTCAACCCACTACACACCAAGCAAGCTAGAGTAACCAAGATTCACCCATGACAACCAACCTCCACCACACCAAAGCAGTAACAAAGCAAACACTATCCACCAGCATCAACATAACTTGATACCAACCCTGTAAATACCCTGCCAGGACAGAACTATAGCATACATGCAGTACAAACCAGAACAAAGGATCATAGCCATGAACTATCAGCCAGCAACACAAACACAAGGAGGCTCAAGTACAACAGAATAGCAAAAGATGCGTAGATAGAGATAGAACAACAACCACCACAGCAGGAGAGGCAGAGAAGGAGCCCGGACAAAGCAAGACACAAGGTAGAGAGAGGGATACTACCCACCATACAATCCAAGCCATCAACTAGCACCTCATGCTAGGAGATAACACTAAAAATGGGCCTCACCCACCAAACACCAGGCAAGCTAAAATGACAAAGACTCAACCATACAACCAACCTCCACCAAATAAAACAAAGGAACAACTTCCACCTGCATCACCATAAAATCCGCTTGATAACAACCTCATAAACAGCCTGCCAGGACAGAACAATAGCATACATGCAGTAAAGACCAGGACAAAGGATCGCAGCCATGAACCATCAACCAGCAATACAATCACAAGGAGGCTCAAGCAAAGCATGAAGCATAGGATGTCGAGACAGAAAAAAGAGCAACAACTACCACAATGGAAGAGGCATGAAAAGGAGTCCAGGCAGAAGCAAGAAACAAGGTAGCAATAGGAAAACCACCCATCATACAACACAGGCCATCAGCTAGCACCTCAAGCTAGGGCATCAATAAAAATAGGGTCTCATCCCACTACACACCAAGCAAGCTAATTAAGCCAAAACTCAACTATGACAGCCAACCTCCAGCAACTATCCACCATCAATAGGCATAATCATAAAATCACAACTAAATAACAACCCGGAAACTAGTTTTCTAGGACAACGGCATGGCATGCATACAATACAAAACAGGACAAAGGATCGCTACCATGGACCATCAACCAACAAACTAATCACTAGGAAGCTTAAGCTGAAAAAGGAAAACAATATGCCTAAATAGTAATTACAACCAAAGAAGCAAATCCCAATTTACACAAAGATAAAATAAAAGGAGGAAAATAAAAATATTTAGCCTTCCTTTAACAATTGATGAACAACGGGAAATACCTCAATCTCAACAATAAGCAAATCAGGGGAGCTGCCACTAACCCCCGAGCTCATCCTTCAAGAAGGAATCCCGCAAACAGCAGAAAAACCCCCGGAGAAACGAACCCAGAAATCAGAGCAAAGCCCCGACAACAAACACCAATCAGGGGATGAAAGACGGTCGTCGAACCTGCTGACTCGCCAACCACAAAGAAAAACACCCCGAAACCACTAAATTAGACCCGTCACCGGCGAAATAACCCAAAGAACAAGAAACTCAGTCACCGGCGAACAAGACCAGAACACCACAACATCCTTGAGAGGAAACCCAGAAAATCGAGGGTTTGATTTGAAAGTCGAAGCCCAGAAAAACCAGAATCAGCCCAACGAATGAAGAAAAAATCAACACTTTTAGCAAATTCCGGCTGCCGAGAAATAGAATAAACCTGAAACTCCACCCAGCAGCCGAATCAACCAAAGCCACCGGAGTAATGACCTCAGACCCTTCTTCAATCTCGAGCAAGAAACCTAGAAAATCGAAGAAGGAAAACCCACTGAACTAGCCCCAACACCGGCGAAATAAGCTAGAAAAACCCAGTCACCAGCGAGCTAGATCAGAACACAGCAAAAAAAACCCAGAAAACCGAGGGTTTGATTTAGAAATCGAACCCAAAAAAACCCAGAAACAACCCAGCAAGAGAAAAATTAACACTTTAAGCACAACCCGACTGCTGGGAAATAGAATAAACTTGAAACACCTCCCAGCAGTCGATTCAACCAAAACAGCCGCCGCTTCTTCAACCTTGAATGAAGGTCGAATAACAGACCCGAGTTCCAAAAGCCCTTAGGGTTTGTATTTTGACATTGAAGAACAAGAAACGAGCTTCTCAATCTAACCCTTTGAAGAAAGATCCGATGAAGGCAACCACCGGGACCCTTCTTCAAAGGGCTAGAGAGAAGCTAGAGTTTCTCTCTCTAGAACAAAACCCTAATTGGGTTAACACTTAATGAACAAATTTGTTGGTATTTATCGGTCATTTTTCAACATACACTTTAATGAGAGCATCATATAATGATTTTCAAGGAAGCAGGAAATGAAGCATAAAAGGAAAAAGGAAAATAAAGTTGGTTATAATAATCC